AGCTAGCAGAAAACACTGTATGTCGTAAGTTGCCCCACATTAGTAAGTACAGCGGGAAGATCTGCTACATATCGGGGAAAAAGTGGTGCATAGAGCTGTTTTATGAATCCAGATCAGTAGAATAGACAGAACAAAAAGTACAGATGCTCGAGGAAATGTGTATTACGACATGACAAGCGCCCACACTCTTTTGATGTCACGCTGGCAAGCCTACTCTTGTTCACTCTCATGTTCATCACCGCCGTCTTCCTCATCTTCACGAAGTCGCAACTCTCGACGGGTCTTCTTGTGCACACCTGCCTTCTTCCCCGGGCGTCGCAAGACAACTCTCTTTCCCAGTGTTGCAGGAATGTTTTGGCCGCAGTCGAAGTCGTCGTGCCAGATCTCAAAGCACGTTTTAGCTACACCCTTGTACTGACGTCGTATCTTGCTGCACAGCCAGCACTTTGCATCGTCAATAGAACAGCGTTCGCAAAAGTAAGTTGTAGCAAACGACTTCTTCTTTCGATCCGTGCGCAACAGGGCACACACCTTGCAAGATCGCTGGCGACGCTTCTGAATGCCCGTAACGGTCACCCAGTCGTCGGCCTGTTCGACAGCATGTGTCAGACGTAGTTGGGGGCGCTTCCGCTTCTGGCTGCTAGGTGTCGGTGTTGCAACAATACCAGCGAAGTCCTCCACTTTCAGCTGCAGTAATTGGTTTTGCAGGACTCCGAACCATTCTCCTCGCTTCATCACCGGTGTTCCAGCGATACGTGCAGCCTCTTTGTGCGAAATAAACGCATTTACAAGTGCCAAATTTACGAAGCCTAAAAAAGGCTTTTGTAGTATTTCTTGAACTTCGTAGACTTCTGCAAAGAGTACTTTTGTAGGCGGAGTTGATCATGGACATCAACTCCGCCCATCCAACGTTGAAAGTCGGTTACAGCCGCCGGGCAGGGCACGGTAATTGTACCAACGCGCTTGATGTTTCGTGTAATAGTCGTCTCTGTCATTGCCGAGCCTGTGCACAGGTAATGCACAGGTTTCCGGTCCCACCAGTGAAATGCAACCATATTTAGAATGGCGACAGAACGAGAGAACGTGAACATGCCGCGGGGAACGCTTGCTGGACGTGACCTGCGCTTCTCTTTGACATTTGCATCATATCCAAGCCGGTTGGTCATTATCGTGCCTATCACGTACACCTGCATGCCCAGTAGCTCGATAGCAAGTAGAATTGACGAATAGAAGCGGTCGATAACTACTGCGTGCCAGGGGAGCCGGGTGTTGGGGCCAAGCACTGTCTTCAAATTTCTAACGACTGCAGCCGCACCGGTCTTATGGTCAAATGTTGAATGCTCTCCATCTCTTCTTTTGCCCGCATACAGCTCAAATCTAGTAACATACGACATAATTGGTGAGAAACCAATCTAATGTCATAACTTATGACGTAAGTAGAAAAAACCAAACCTGTGACTGTACGCGGTCCTTGAATCACACACCATGAACATTTTCGAGCCATACCGATGAGGCTTATCGGGCATGAACATTCTAGTCGTGTTTCTTTTAGAAGTAGAAGGCAGAACACCCTCGTCAAACGCGAACACTGCCGGGAGGGTCCACGCAATCAAGAAACGATTCTGCATTGTCTCGACTACCATTCGCAACTTCCAGAGCCTGTCTCGCGTACGCTCCGCCTCGTTGTCCATAAAGTGCAAGTCGCGCAACATGTCTTGACATCGATTACGGCCCATGAACCTTCCAAAATTACCTGCAGGAACGGCCCCGTCCTCCACCATCGACCAGTGAGCGGCAAAACGTCGCTTTTGCGGGCAGAGCATGCGCGCAATCAGGAGACCTATCATGTGTAAGATCTCGTGCGTCTCGTATCCCGGCTTTGCCTTCAAACGCCGACTAATCTGCTTAACCGTCTCCTTTCTCCGATCGTGTTGCTTTGCATGAATTCTTTCTGCACGTCTGGTGACTTGCTGAAGACCATACCGATTCGTCTCTGCAGCTATCTTGACCCATAGCGACTTGGGCATAAAGTAAAAGAATGTAAGTAGTGGAGAGTGGCAAACGTTTAGTAGCTCAGCGACCGGTCGTGCCTCGTCCATATTCAGACCAGAGTACGCTTCGACACCCTCCTCAAACTCGTGAGTGACTGGAGACCACTCCATTGAACGTAACGCGTCCTCACGTTGCTGCTTGGCTTGACTGTTGAGGGCATCGCTGCCTACTTGAAGTGAGTCAATGAACGCTGCGTCCATTGGCACAGCGTCATCTTCTGACAGCTCATCCAATTCTTCAGGTACTTCACAATAGTTGCCATCATCGTCATCATTGTCTTCTTCAATGTCGTCATCACTGTCTCCAGAGCTAAAGCTCTCGTAGTCACTCAGGTCTTCGTCGTCAGCAACAAAATTTACAATCTTCTTGACAGGATGACGGGGGCGTAGGACAGGACAGGTCGGCGTAGCTGGCACACGAACAGATTGGGAAGCGTGCTCGCGTACGGGTTGGGCGTCAGGCTCACGTGTAGGTTGGGCGACGGGCACAGTTACAGGTAGGGCGGTCGGCACAGTTATAGGCTGTGCGGGCACTGGACTGTCAGGCGGAGAAGCAGCGCCAGCATCCGACTGAGCGTCACCCTCGGGTCCAGATGACAGAAACTGCAGGTTTGTCGCTGCGTCTCGAAGCTCTCCGGGCGACAAATTAAAAGCCCGAGTAACTGCTGCCTGTGAAAGCTCGACTTCAGAGCTATTGCAGCTGCTTGGGGTGCCAAACAGATCATTCATGGTCTGCTGTGACAGCTCAGCACTTGTATCGATCTGCGACGCACGTACGTCCTCTAAACAGTTATCTACGGCGTCTTTACTGGAAGTGACGGCGTCTTCAGTAGCAGAGGCAGCGGCGCTCTCGTCATCGTCGGCTACTACGTCAACAGCGACCTCATCGTCTGCAGCGTTGGCTTCCTCTGCGCTCTCCTGTTCATCCAATATTCCTGTCTCTAATGCATACGCCACCACAGCCTCCTCTCCAACTAACATCTTCGAACCATCTGCACTTACGTACTTCCCTTTAGTTTGTATCCCGGTTGGTCGCTTGTACTTCCATCCCACAGCTCGAAGTTGTCGCCAAAAGTGGCCAAAGTCAATGTTGCGCGCCACCGCAGCAACGGCGGCTGTTTTGGTTCGTTTTCCAGGCCGGATGCGAGCCATCGAGCAAATTCTGTAATGGGCTGTGGGCCACTGAGTGGCAACTGGATACTTTCCCGCGTATCCCATCTTTTCCGCGCGCTCCTGATCCCTGGCTCGTTTTTGGATTTTTCTCATTTACCGGTTGAGCTTTATCGATTTTAAATGACTTGATTAAAGTAGGATTTCCATTTTTGAGCCATTTTCTAATGTTTTTCCAGTTATGTCGTAAGTTACGACATAAAAAAAGAGTCATGTCGTAAGTTACGATATCGGGAACCAAGGGGTTATAGTAGCTAAAAAATTAAAAGCGCCTTTTAATAGGTTAAAACGTGCCTTTTCAAATCTCTTCCTGTCATCCCCCATGGACAGGACAAATGGCACGAGCAGCAAGGGCCGACGCCTTCAAGTCCAGAGGTCCAGAGAGAGAATAATAAGCTCGTGGTGGGTGGGTAGGTGGGTTCCTAGAATGCGGATTAAAAAATGCGTCAGATATTGACCGACACGCACAGTATAGATACACCAATTATACGATAAGTGTGCCATAGCGTGGAATATGCGTCGCAATGTGAAACGTACTCGGGGTAGTGTATACATACAGGCAAGGGCTTCACAGGGACACGATGCGTATTAAATACGCCGATCCAGTGTTATTAATAGGCGGGGAATAAATTTGCGAACTCTTTTTGCCATTTTAAATTCCTTGGTGTTAGGGTCGTTCAAAATTTGGAGGACGCAAAAACATCAACAAAATGTTTTTTTTTTCAAAACTAGGAAATTGGGCTGGAGGGAATGTTCAACTCGGTAGAGCAATACAACATTTGAGGGAAGGCCAATCCTGTACCGGTAGTGAAAAGGAAAAAAAAAGTGGCGTGATTCTACAATTAAAGGCCCAATAATTTCATGTTTCGCGAGCTAAGCGTCCAGCACCAACCGGGGACTGACGATCCGTCTATTCAAAAACACAATTAACACCCGTTATTATACGCTTCCATCATATCAATCACCGACGACTGCCCCCCTCCCCCGGCGACTGCCTGTATACCTCTTCCATTCATGTTACGCGAGCTAAGCGTCCAGCACCAACCGGAAAAAAAGATCTGTCATTTCAAATACGAAAGTAATATCGGTTAATACACGCTAACATCTTATCATTGTTGCTGCAGCTTGCAAGCCAACTCTTCCACATTCATGTTACGCGAGCTAAGCGTCCGGCTTCTTATCCTACCACCGAGGTCTCTGTGCCTGTTTGGCCGACTGTAACTCCTCCAACCCTGATTCAATAAATGCCCTATAATAGTAAAAGCGATCGACGATTACACTGATGCAAACCGCTCTTTTATAAGCTGTCTAACTTAAACCTTAGCGTGGTGTTCGCCACACATTTTTCTTAACGATACGAAATTATTTGGTCTGTACCGTACGTAACAGTCCTCATTCTGAAGCGGTTTTCACGGTCGAATAGAATCAACCGGAAGCGAGGGTATGGAACGGGGTCGAAGTTTGCTAGAGTATTATTGGTCGTAGTGGTTACGATAAATGCTGGGTTACCTTTAAAAATACTTTTTTTAAGTTTCTACGCATAGTAAAGCTTGCAATACGCATATGATGCGTCCATCGGGTGGGTATGGCTAAATTGTATGGCTACCCGAAAACCTTTGTGCTTATGTTACGGCCAGGGCACCCAGGTGGTCACCCGCAAGCACCTCTGGATATAAATATCCAGAGGCGCTTTGCGGAATAGCAGCAACCAGCAGGTTATCTTGTTTGGTGGGAGACGTTCTCATTCACCAATTTCTTGGCTACACATTAACTCCTCATCTCTTCTCAAGAACTATGTCTGGACGTGGTAAAGGCGGCAAGGGACTTGGTAAAGGAGGCGCTAAGCGTCATCGTAAGGTTCTTCGTGACAACATCCAAGGTATCACCAAACCGGCAATCCGTCGTCTTGCTCGCCGTGGCGGTGTCAAGCGTATCTCCGGCCTTATCTACGAGGAGACTCGCGGTGTTTTAAAAGTATTCCTCGAAAACGTCATCCGCGACTCGGTCACGTACACAGAACACGCACGTCGCAAGACCGTGACGGCCATGGACGTTGTGTACGCCCTCAAGCGCCAGGGACGCACCCTGTACGGCTTCGGCGGCTAACTTAGCCATGCTAAGCGCATTCTCTGTATATCGGTTTTTGGTGTATAGATCTATCTCTCTTCTCTTGGTGTTTTAAACACCACCCGTCACTAAAAAAGATTTATACCCGACTTTGCTAAAGCAGGCATGGACCTCATCGTATTAAATCAAAGTTCCTCAGTTGCATCCTAGCGGTGCTATCGTTAACGCTTTAGCAGCTGGTAAAACTGTAGTGAGGGCTCGCGATAAACCCCCAATTGTAATGCCTAAGTACAACAATTAATGTATATTATTTTATGTTTGGGAACAAAATTTATGCCGTCATACTTTAATACTAGTTTTTGTAAGTAAAGTTCATCACAATTGGCTTCCATTAATGGTCAATATGCATGGACAGGTTTCTCAGATTCAAATGCATAATCTCGAAATTTGAAATGCGATTAATGCCATTATCGGGAGCCCAGGTCAGTATACTGTACTCCAGGAGGATGTTTGTTGGATGATGTTAAATTGTGTATATCGTGGGTGTGATGGCTGCCATTTTGTTTTCCTTCGTTATAGTTGGCGTGTTGCTCATGCTGAAAGGAATGGTTCTCTGTCTAATTTAACTTCGGATTGCTTCAAAGTATGAATCAGCGTACCAACACGGGCTTGCATCGATACACGAGTCAATTATCGCTACAGCCGTGGCTAGAAAAATAAAGCTAACAAATCGGTTACATTAGCATGACACTGACGGTATTTGGCTTAAAGGCTCCAAAATCTACCTAACATTAAGCTTACCGTCGCTTAAGCTCTGTAGTACTACTACAGTAATACAAGTATGTAGTAGCCCGAGTCGGGCCCCGACGTAGTAGCACCGAAGTTGTTTAGTAATACTAATATCTAAATTTCACTACTACTTGTCAAGTGATGCCAGTGATTGGAAAAAAATCGGTAACGGAAAAAAAAGTGTGTTCTTATTAACAGAAGCAACTATACCCCACCTAAATTTGCTCTTCAACAAGGCAATCGGCTTACAAGAAGTAAGCACCAACAGCCATGATGGTTGCGCAGGCAGCACCCATGGTGATCTGCGAGGCGCCGCTCGAGCCTGAGGCGCTGGCGGAAGCGTCAGTCGAGCTTCCAGAGCTGCTCGAGGCAGTCTCGGACGACGATGAATCGGTCGTGGGCGTCGACGAGCTGTCAGTTGAGGTGGTGGCACTGGCGTCCGTCGTCGGGTTGGAGGAGCCGACAGTCGTGTCGGCCGTAGCGCTGCCGGCACCAACAGCGGGGTCAACGGCACCCGAAGCAGCCGTAGTGGCATCGGTGGTGGCGCCGGTGGCCGGGGCGGTCGTGGCGGTCGCAGCCGAACCCGTGGCGGTCGCAGCCGAACCCGTGGCCGTCTCAGCAGAGCCCGTCGTCGTCGGTCCGGTAGCGGGGGTGGCAACTGGAGCGGTGTTGGCGGCAGATTGGCCGTTGGCAGCGGCGATGGCGATGGCGGCGATGACGAGGACCTGGACGAACTTCATAGTTGTAGGTAGTTTAGGTAGAGTCGGTTGGGACTTGAGCGCTTGAGAGTGAAAATCGGAATGAGGAGCTCGTCGGGCATCGCTCGAACGTCGAGCGAAGTAGGCGACGCTGTAGGATACGGAGCTCTTGTGCGCCTCTCTCTTGTGTGCCATACGAACCACATCAACTTGTGGCTTTGTGGCTGCGCAGATCCTCTTGACACCTGAAGAACAGGAAAAGCGAGGGGGCACGTGGATAGGACCAAGCGAAACACGTGGGAGATGCCGCATGCCCAACTTGCCATTGGCAAGTCGGTGTCTCTCTCGTCATTAAAGGGCAACATGGTTTCCTGGTGTAGAGGCGATCCGTGTGGACACACCAGGGTGGCACCAAGCCGGGATAGGTCTCGCCTTCGTGCATTTCAGGTGTTCCGAGCGGCGAAATGATTCGCTCTACAGTAGAACTTCTACTAGAAGTACCCGTAAAGGATTCTGAAAACATATATTATATGTTCTTTAAGTAAAACTTGCATTGTTCTACGTGAGGTCTTTTTATGGATAGCGCGCTACATGTATTGTAGAGAGGCAGCCTACATACTACTCCTAGTACTGTACTGTAGTAATGAAAAGGGTATGGGAAAAACTATGGAGCTCGAGCTTAGGGAGCTCTTGAATGCGAGCTAGACCAACAAATCGTACGCTGACACATGAAAACTTAATCGTGTAGTGTTGAGTTTCGCTGACTTACAAGTAGCCATGGGCCTTTAATAGTGCGCTTCCTAGATTTTTCGGCGGAGCGCCTTAGGATATCCTGCACCGTAGCAAGCATTTATAAGGCGCTTCGCTCTTGTATACCTATAGCTCTGTAGGAAATCTGGAGCTTTCCTTGATTTTCTTTTGTAAATGGTGTTTGTCTAAGGGTTAATGGTGTTTGTCATCAGCCACAGCAGCCCTGGTAGAAACTTAAGTAGTATTATCCCGTTCATCCACTAACCTCTATAGAAGAATGGTCTGACCTCTCCAACGACGCAAAGTGCTCATCGACTACGTAACAAATGCTGCATACCCTCATAGACTGCTAAGATACACAAATACCACAAGAAAGAATAATAGACTACTCTAGTGCTATCTAAACCTACGAAGTGGTCCGTGGACGAGGAGAGGCACTTATGCGGAGAACAGGTCTGGTATACAGCAATGCCGCAGCATCGAGTCGAAGCGTATTGCATTTTATAGAACAGTCTACCTCCCAAGCTCATTAAATAAATGAATGGAATTCATGCAGCCAAAAAAAGTTTTAAAAAAATGTCCTGCTTTGACTAGTATTAATGTGGTCGTTAGGACAGCTAAATGACTGTAATTAAACCTGACTTTGAAGAAGAGAAGTGATAAGTATATTTTTTTAATCCCGAAGCTTCCCCAATGGAGAACTTCTTGTAATCATCACTGTCATCTCGGACGTGCTGCAAATGTAGCTGTGCTGATATTGTGGCAGCTCAATTAAAGTCCAACCTGACAACTATGTTTAAAACACAAAATGCATTTGAGTACATCAAATAGCACTATTTCTAAATTTGGGTATCTCGAGCTCCCTAAGCTCGAGCTCCATAGTTTTTCCCGTTCCCTATGATAGAGTCTATGATAGAGTCTATGACCCTCTTGGCAAGATCTAGGCAAGATGCCACAAAGCTTGTGCATGTTCAACCGCGCGAAAGTTTCCCATCGTCACAACGATCACAGCCAAGCTCATCAAATTTTGATCGGACTATAGAACTTGCGTTTATCTCGATCGGCACAGCGGTGCATTGTAAAAGTGTGAAATTGTCAATGAGAATCGCAAATAAACGTCTATTGCTTGCGCTTTACAGTGCTGCAGCTAGAAAACCAAAAACTTCGTTGAAGCAGCCACTCGGCCACTTCGCTGAGCTCAATTCAACAGTTTACAGAAAGTAGGCGCCGACAGCCATGACGGTCGCGCAGGCCGCGCCCATGGTGACCTGAGCAGCACCGCTGGAGCCCGAAGCCGAAGCCGAAGCGCTCGAGGCCGTGGAGCCCGACGTGGTGCTGTCCGTGGTGGACGACGAGTCCGTGGTGCTCGACGAGGTCGTGTCCGTCGTGCTGGAGCCCACCGTGCCGGCAGAGCCCGTGGTGCTGGAGGCGCCCACAGTGGAGTCCACAGCGCCCGAAGCCGCGGTGGTGGCGTCAGCGCCCGGAGCAGTCGTGGCGGAGGCGGCGGCGTCGGCACCCGAAGCAGCCGTGGTAGCAGCGGCGCCAGTGGTCGAAGCGGCCGTCGAGGTGGCAGCGGCATCCTGGCCGTTTACGGCAGCGAAAGCGAGGGCGGCAATGACGAGGACCTGGAACACCTTCATGGTTATGGATTGGGGTGGGGGGGTGGTAGTGGAGGGGACTTTGGGACTTGGAGGTAAAAGTGAGAATGAACTATTGCTGCCAGCGCATTAGAACTAGGAAGACGTGGTGACGTGGTGAGACCACGTTCCATACGCCATGCTGGTATGCAGCATGGCGTGCGCGCCGCTGTTGTTCCAGGTGTCGAGCGACGTAGGACAACTTGCATTGGATTCCGAATAGGGTTCGCTTTTCGTCGGGTTGAATTCATTATATGCATGTGATTGGACGAAAGCTCGGGAGGGGAAGCGCGTGGATTGGTGGAAATGTAATCTGCGACGTTTTGCGTTAATTCGTAGAGTTGTTGAAGTTGCCTGTTCTGACCCTGCTTGCTTGCTCTTTTTGGTGTGGCATTGTTGTTGTGTGGTGCCTGCCGCCATGTTTGCCAAACATCGTTTGGACGCCTTTGCTGTCGCTCGACGTGCGGGCACCAGACTCTGGTGCCCGCACGCCGAGAAAAAAAAGCATTGTGCCTCAAGATCGGGCCCAAACGGGACCTCAAAACTGCCTTTTGTCTCTGCTTGACTGGGGAGCACCGCGTGTTATTGGGCGCTTACAGTTTAAAACCGAAGGAGCGATTCGGTTGATTACGTAGACGGCACGTCAGCGAAGCACTGCCCTTTGAAAGAGTTTACCCATTGCCTTCATTAAAGCTTCTCTTTTGCGGGTTCATGACATTTGCACAGTTGCCGTCAAGGTTAAGGAAACGAAGACGAGTTTTTTGCCTGGAAAGCAAATCAGAGCATCTTGTGCGGAATTGAGTGAAAGGCGACCACTGAAAATAAGTATCTTTGCAAAGAATTGCAAGCGGAAGACAAGAATCTATTTGACCGACGTTAGAGTTGTGGCCTGTTTTGTTATCTACAATATACACGTCGATTTGTCGGCGCCGCGTGAGACGCGGACGTTGTTGTAGTACTCGAGGTCGATGGTAATACGCGTCGAGTTCGACTTCCAGTCTGTTGGTTTACAGGAAGTAAGTGCCCACGGCCAGCACGGCGGCGGTGGCTGCACCCATGGCGCCTGAGATCTGAGAAGCACCGCTGGAGCCTGAGGCCGAGGCGCTCGCATCCGCCGAGCCCGAGGACTCCTTGGTGCTCGAAGACTCCGTGGCCGAGTCCTCCGAACCGACAGCAGCCGAGCCAGCGGTGCTTGTGGCCTCGGTCGAGTCGGTCGTGCCGCTGGACGTCATGTTCATGCTGCTGTCCATGCCTGAAGCGGCCGTCGAGGTGGCAGCGGCCGTGTCCGCAGCAGCGGAAGACGCGGTCGAAGTCGCAGCAGACGTCGTAGCCGCAGCGGCGGAGGCGGCGGTGGAGGCACCAGCTGAAGTCTGACCGTTGACAGCAGCGACGGCGAGAGCGGCGATGGCGAGGAGCTGGAAGACCTTCATACTGGAGAATGGAGAGAGGAGGAGTGGCGACTTATGAGCTCAAAGGTAAAAGTGAGAATGAGACTTGAGAGCATGTGCGGGGAGCCCCACCGAGGCAAAGATACTGTTTCGTGATGTTGAAGTGACATCTCGCGTCCGTTTGACAAGGAAAAGTACAGCTATAAAATGTAGTCATCGCAATTCCGGCTCGAATAGTTTTTCGCTGGCTACATTCACGTTCAATGCGTCGACAACAGGTACAGTACTGCTTACAGTACAGGCCTATTACATGCACTTTTACAGTACTAAAAGTCTTTTAGAAGGTCGTGAAGGTTTCATACAGCATAACTGAAAAAGTAAAACTGTACTAATACAAATATTGTATTGTTGAGAGGAAGAGCATACGGTTACTGAACCACCAAATGAGCCCAGGAGGGACCTGCAGCAGAGGACCTCTCGATTCACGACACCTTCAAGGACTCAGCTCAGCAAGCAGCGAAAGCGGAAGAACCGCGGCGACTGTCCTACTGCAGGATGTCACAAATGAGGGGGGGGGGTCGTAAATGGAGGCCGCTCATCAAAACTTAGCACGTCAGGTAATTCGTAACGTTAGCCGTCGCTCTTTTCGCTACAGTTTTCCACGACGGTCAGCCCCATCCTGCATTCCAGGTCGGTATAACTAAGATACCGCGGAAATCAACGCGAAACGTTGAGCTTAAGTTTAAAATGTTCAAAGTAACGAGTTGGATGTGAATTCATCGGCTGCACTAAAGCTACCAGCCAGCAGCAACAGTAGGCTGTTATTTCAACTATTATTATCAGCGCTTTATCCCAGGACGGCAGCAGCTACTATGACGGCCGTAGAAGACAGTCGTGGCAGCATTGGAGGCGTTGTTGGGGCCAGAAGCGGAGTCAGTTTTCATCGCGATAGAGGTCATGTTGGTTGCGCCATGGATAACTTTAAACGCGTCATGCGAGTCCTCCTCGGATGTACTTAAGTAGTCCTCTTGACGGGTGCTCACAGCTGAATCGAATGTGATAGCAGCGAGGGTGGCTGCTGTGACGAGGATTCGCGAGACTTCCATCTTTTGTTGACGTAAATTGTTTCACGAAGAATTGGACAACTACGAGGCTATCTACCAGGAAAAATCTATGGACTATCCGAGCGGTGGAGGCGTCTCTCACTCACTCGTTTCCACATGTAGTATTTGGGTCGGTATTGAGCAACCTCAGTTTTAGCTAGGGACAGTCTGAATGAATGATTTACACTACAAGTAGGCCAGTGTTTGGAAAATTGGCCTTTTACGGCGTAAGAGATTTTTTCTTACAGTGTAAAATAAAACTGCCAATGCGCTGAATGCGAGGAAAATTGTTGATATGCACCGACTCTGCACGGTTTGGCTAACCGGCGTGACGTTTCAAAAATGGACCGGTCCCAAACCGGTTAATCTGGTGGATGGCCAGGAGCACTGAAGTTTAGAGGACAGATTTAATTGACTTTAATCTACTCACTTCGGCATTTGCCTTTAACAACAACAACAGGTTAACAGCCGCACTCAACTCTACCGGAACATTCCAAAACATGACGACGACCAAGCGCGCCGAAGTCCTCCTCGGGAGTGGGAACTACTTTCACTGGGAGTACAATATGCGCATGACGCTAGCCAGGAAGGGCCTGCTTGCGCATATTCAAGCCGTCAAGCCGGAGAACGAGATCACCGAGGCGTGGCTCGTCAATGATGCCAAGGCGCTCGGCATCATCGCTCAGGGTGTGGAACTCCAGCATCAGACCAAGATTCGGTCGGCCACTCGTTCCATAGAAGCTTGAGGAACGCTGCGAGAGTTCTATAGCCGCACCACGCTCCACAACCACGTGACGATGACGCGTCGCCTCTACGAGTTCAAGATGGAGAGTGGATCGACTATGGCCAAGCATCTGGATGCGTTTAAGGAGCTGATCGTCGGGTTGCAGACGCTAAGAGAGCCCATGGACGAGGCACGCCAGCTGGTGGTGCTGCTGAGCAGCCTCCCCGTTGAGTACGAGCTCATTTCGTCTATCGTGGAGAGCGCCAAGGGTGTGACGCTCACCGAGGCCAAGGAAAAGCTGTTGAAGGAGTACGAGCGACTTGAGAAGAAGGAAACCACGGAGAAGGCGTTCCAAGTGAATGGGAGCGCAGGCAAGTTCCGGAACGGCCGAGGGACCGGTCAAAAATGGAACGATTGAAAATGGAACGGTCCGAAACGGAACGTTCGTTTCAAGGGCAAGTGTTTCAGCTGTGACCAAGTGGGTCACATGAAACGGGACTGTCCTGCTGCGAAGAAGAGCAGTCAAGACGATGCAGTGTTTGCAGTTGGTGGGGAACGCTCGGCCGGGTGGCTGATTGATAGTGGTGCGACGGCGCACATGACCCCTCACCGGAACGACCTATTTGGGTACGAGGCACTAGACAGTGGCATCAGCGTGACGATTGCAGTTGGTAAGAAACTGCGCGTCGCAGGAGCTGGAACAGTCAAGTTGACTGGTTTGGACGGTAAACGAATCCGAATGGTGGACGTGCTCCACATTCCGGGGCTCCATAGACGATTATTGTCGGTCGGGAGGCTCGCGGAACGAGGCATGAGCGTGGAGTTCCAGCGTTCCAGTTGTGTAATTTGGGGACGGAACGCTGCGATAGCGTCAGGGAAGAAGGTCGGTAGGGCGTTCCTGCTGGATTGTCAACAGGAGGAGACACACTTTGTGCAATACGCCGGTCCTGACAGCGAGTGGGAGCTTTGGCATGCTCGTATGGGTCACCCTAACAAGGACGCGCTGACGAAGACTCAACGTTCCACAATTGGTATTCCACATGTGAAATATGGGAACGAGACTCTGTGCGGTGGATGTATGAAGGGAAAGCAGACCGTGACGACGTTCCCGTCACGATCGCTAACGAGAACGACGCGTGTGATGGAACTAGTACACACGGACGTAATGGGCCCAATGAGAACGATCTCAAAGGGTGGTGCCAAATATGCTCTGACGTTCGTAGACGACTACTCAAGGTTTGTCGTTGCGTACTTTATGAAGAGCAAGAGCGAGGTGGGCAGTAAACTGAAGGAGTTCAAAGCATTGTACGAAACCCAGTGGGGGGAACGTCTAAAATGTCTTCGTTCCGATAATGGAACGATGTTCGTGAACAAGACAGTTTTGGAACTATGCAAACGGAACGGTATCGTGCATCAGCGTAGCGTTCCATACAGCCCTCAGCAGAATGGAGTGACGGAACGCATGAACCGTACCATCATGGAGAAGGCAAGAAGCATGCTGCACTACAGGTCTATGTCGATGCAGTGGTGGGCGGAAGCGGTTAGTACTGCAGTGTATCTCATCAGCCGTTCCACGAACACATCAAACTCTGGTGTCACGCCGTACGAGCTGTCGTTCCAGGTGAAGCCACGGATGGAACACCTACGTGTATTTGGATCACAAGGGTACGCTCATGTGAACGACGGGATGAGAACGAAGCTGGAACCCAAGAGCTTCAAGTGCACGTTCCTTGGGTACGCTGAGAACGTAAAAGGATATCGTGTGTACGACATGGATGCGTCGAAGGTCAAGGCGACACGGTCGGCCAAGCTGGACGAGCGTGAGGTAGGCGGAATCTATGACACGCAGTCGCCAGCTTCAGGAACGGTCGTCCATGTGACGAGGAACGATGATACGATCGTTCCAATATCTGAAGTGGAACGTCAGCCTGCTCAGGATGAACCGATGGAAGAAGCAGAGGAGCCTGCTCAAGACATTGAGATGGACGACCTTGAACCGGAACGGAACGCAGAAATACAGCAGCTACCCGCGCCGGAGGAACCCAGGTTAAATGGGTTGGATTTGGCAACGTTCCATTCGCAGCCTCCATCGTTCCATAAGGATCGGATGATCTTCCATCCTGAAACGGAACGATCTACGCGCCCTCGTGAGCCGTTACTTCTACTTGGGAACGGTGACGATGAAAATGTGGAAGTGGAAGTGATAGACCGCCATCTCCTAAGCGCGCCAGAATCGACGAAGATGGTTTGCTTGCAGAGGCAGTGTTGGCGTACGCGGCCAGCATTGCTGGCGTTCCAGATACGCCTAACACATACGCAGAGGCTATTGTCAGTGACGAAGCAGGAGAGTGGCGTCGAGCTATGCAGTCAGATCTGAGTTCGCATTCCCGGAACGAAACATGGACGCTCGTTCCGACAACTGGTTCCATTAGATGTCGCTGAGTGTTCACGAAGAAGCGTGACGAGAACGGCCGGGTTATCCGTTACAAGGCACGCCTAGTAGCGCAGAGGTTGAAGCAGAAGCTCGGAATAGACTTCTTTGAGACGTACTCTCCGGTTGCGAATATGAACTCGATTCGAGTTGTACTCGCTGTTTGCGTTACGTGCGGCTACATTGTGGAGCAACTGGATGCCGACACAGCGTTCCTAAACAGTGGTTCGAAGGATTTGGTTTATATGGACGTTCCATTTGGTCTCGAGAATGCTGAAGGCATGAAGTGCAAGCTGCTAAAGGCCACCTACGGCTTGAAGCAAGCTGCAAGTGCATGGAACAAGACTATTCATCGCGTGTTCCTGCAAAACGGTTTCAAATGTTGCGGAGCCGACCAGTGTGTCTACGTCAAGCGTTCCAAAAACGCATTCGTGTACGTATGTCAATATGTGGACGACATGATCAATGCGGCCAAGACGCGCGACGAAATTCGCGAGGTCAAGAACGCCCTGAAGAGCGCATTCAAGAAGAAGGAGCTTGGCGAGGCCAAATTCATTTTGAGAATGGAGATTGACCACGATAGAGAATGTGGAACGTTGATGATCAAGCAAACTCGGTACATTGACGACATTATGGAACGATTCAATCAACGGAACGCCAAGATGGTGGAGAACCCTTGTGCAGCAAACCTGAAATTGTCCAAGATGATGTCGCCGACTACGGAAAAGGAACGTGCCGAAATACGGTCACGACCGCATCGTTCCTTAATCGGGTGCCTCATGTACATCACAACCTGTACTCGGCCGGACATTGCCTACGTTGTCACGCAGCTGTCACGCTTTCTAGAGAATCCTGGAACGCAACACTGGAAGGCAGCGATTCGTGTTCTGCAATATTTGAAGTCCACTTGCCATCATGGTATCGTTTACAAAGTGGAGCGAGTGGATTTGGAACGCAAGCTGTCAAGGCAGAAGCGTTTACGGACGCAGCCTGGGGAAGCAACATTGACGACAGACGTTCAGTGTCTGGCGTCATGGTCATGATTGGGAACGCTCCGGCGGTGTTTAAGTCCAAGTACCAGAGATCGGTTGCGCTTAGCTCAGCGGAAGCAGAGTACATGGCACTAAGCCTTTGTACTCAAGGGGTACTGTGGACACGTGCCATGCTGAAGGACATGGGTCACGAGCAAGTGGGAGCGACGCAGATCTGGGAAGACAATCAAGGTGCTATTGCACTTGCAAGCAACGCTGGATATCACGCGAGGACCAAGCACGTGGATATCCGTCACCACTTTATTCGAGAGAATGTAACCCGTTCCACAATCAAGGTGGCCTACACCGACACAGCAGCAGTTAGCTGACATGCTTACGAAAGCACTGGGAACGAAGTCGCTAGCGTTCCTTCGCGAAGCAAGTGAAATCAAGAAGAGGAACGACGTGCAGTAGCGGTGAGTGGGAGTGTTGATATTCACCGACTCTGCTCGGTTCGGCTAACCGGCGTGACGTTCCAAAATGGACCGTTCCCAAACCGGTTAATCTGGTGGAAAGCCAGGAGCACTAAAGTTTGGAGGACATATTAATTGAGTTTAATCTACTCACTTCGGTATTTGCTTTTAACAACAACAACACTTTAAGGTCTGGGTCCCCGATTTGTACTTGGAAGCAGCCTGATAATAATTCCATATATCAACATTTATGTCCACAAACTCAACACGAAATTTCCACATCTTATGGATTTTTTTCATAAACATTTGTACGTGTCGAGACGACGCCACGGAAACGTCACTTGATACCGGTATTAATAGCATACCGGTATCAAGGAGACCTAACTTCATCAAGTACAAGTCGAGCGGTGACTTGGCTGCACTTGACTTCGAAATAAAGAGTCTGTCAGTGCTCAAGACACTTGGTAAAAGTAAAGACAATAGAAATGTGATTGATCTGTATTTCTTTATGCCAAAAGCGTCCGCGTAGTGGACGTGCGGCGCTAGATCTCATTTACAAAACTAAAGTATTTCACACGCCATTGGTTAAATAATGATCTGACTGCTTTTACCTGTAAGAGAAAGAGTTGATACCACCGCACGCGGTGGGCTCTCAAGGAGAACGTTCAATTGATAAAGGTATTCACATGACTCCATATCAGTAGCAGAAAGCGTTTGCAAGCTTAGCGATGCAAAGAGAACATTGCCCGCTAAATCGCAAGAAAAATACTGCGAAACGAAGGCACCCTCCATCCGAGATCAGACGACCCCTTAACTGATGTGATGGCTCACATCCACGATATGCTGAGGTAGATTCCACCTTTTGAGACGTATAGATGCGTGCTGTAGCTTCGTTAAAAAATACGTGGATACTTGGAAAATTGTAATTGCGTTGAAGAGTTGGTGAAGCAAAAAACGGCTCCACGAAATGGCTTAATGGATTTGAAAGCGGCGATGTTTCTATTTAGAAGCAGGGTCTAAAAATAAAAGCCAAATGTTTTTAAGTGAGCGCTGTAAGCGCAATCAAGTTCCATTGCAGGGTGGGCGAATTCACATGTCTTTAGCACTTTAATTTCGTATTCTCCATTGCGTAGCTTACGAGCTAGCACTTTCTACTAACAAGTACACAAGCTGAGCAGCTCTTTTCACGCCACTACCTGCAGTCAACGTAGGGGGACGTTCTACAGCCGAACAGAGTCAGTAGATGGAGGCGGTAGAGAATCCATGACGTCGCTTGGCGGCGTAATTACTGGATGAGTTGGGCGAGCCGAAGGTAAGTCCGCGCTGTCTAACCACTCATCCATCGTGGGGGGATCGGTCGTGAAGCGAAAAATCTGGCCATTGACGGCAGCGAGAGCGGCGGCGGCAATGACGAGGAGCTGGAAAACCTTCATTCTGAGGGGGGGGGGCTTAAGCTCTTGGAAGTAAAAGTAGAAATGATACTAGAGCTCGGTGTCAATGGTGAGGAGACAACCCACCCATGAAACCTTGTGATAGGCTGGATAAAGATACGCTAGAGTGATGTTGAAGTGATCATTTAAAGTAGATAAAAGTACTGTAGTCGTCGCAATTCTGACTCGAAGTTGTCGCTGTATTTCCATATTTGTATTCATTTTGTTCGGACGTAAAGTCGGAAGAGTCACGCGCAGCTGAGCGCTCTAATAGAGGGTAGAGAAAAGAGGGCCTCTATTCACTACGCGAGCAGAGAAAAAAATGATATCATCTACTTTGAATGAGTTTACCGAGAAGTTTCAGCGTCGCCTGTCCCTTCGCATGACATTGATAATCGGCACAATTATTTTTTGGTACGATTACTTCCTTGTCGCAGTTGAAGAAACAGACTCGCCAACACAAACTTAACTATAGGCGTTTAAGCTTAACAGCAAGTTTCAACAACAAACTTGAGGGATTATGGAGCCAGCTTTTGGTACGTATCGACGGAACCACATGTTGAAAAGAAAACGGTAACATTGTTGTCAAGCTTGTGCTATCTACATCCTATCAGCACACTAATAGGAGTGCTTTATACGAGGACAATAGCCATTAGAGCCATGGTTGTAGTGAAGACACCCGCCGCTGCAACACTGGAAGCGCTGTTGGATCCGGTGGCCGAGTCGGCGGCCCCTGCAATTGCGGAGCCGGTTGTGCTGGTTGCGCCGAGGATCACGTCTAGTGCGTCATTCGAGACTTCTTCGGCCGTGTTGGAGTCCGCTAGCGGGGTGCTTGCAGCCGAGTCGAGTGTCATAGCGGCCAAGGCGAGGACGGCCACGACTCGAAGGACTTGCATTGTTGTGAGTTTAATTATCGATGTCCCGGTAGACTGCAACTCGTAGTCGCTCGAAGAAATTCGGAATGGCGAGACCAGCGATCGATGCGCGGGTTTCTAGGTGAGCGCATCGGCATCACTCGCTCGTTCACTTCCATTTGCAAATCCGATTACGTGGAAGCGCCGTGGTCTATCCGACTGTTGAAGCGTCTTTGACTCACGTTTGTTTGTATCGTCAATGGGTCTTGCAGTTGCTGGATGGGGACAGGCTGATCGAAACGAGTGGCAAATGAAAGCTGTATTTGTCTTGATAGACCACTCTCGTGAACGCTGGATGTGTTGTGTGAAGTGTCCGATGTGCTGGTCGTTGTCAGCCGCACGCCGCAGGAAGAGTCAGAGGAAGTGGAAACAAGGTCTTTCCATTGCTGACGGCGCGACGGCATGTTTGCTTGCTGCAGACGCTAATCACGATTGCAGATTCCATAGTTGCGTCGTATCCGACGAATGCCAAGCAGCGAAATGCAGAGAGGCTCGTGGATCACGGCACCATCGCGATCTCGTAGAGACATTGCTGCGTCGGCATTTCCTGCAGGAGACATTGCTTCACCAGCACGACGCTGTAGGAAACGGTACAGTACATGTACAGCAAGCAGTGGGTCTTGTCCGTAGCGATGAGAAATGTGCTTCGTCCATGTTGAAAGTAGCATTTTCATCCACTTTTTCATTTTCTAACGCTCGTTAGAGCTTTCCCAGGTGTGCTGCCACACTGCGCTCTAAGATTTTTCTTTCTCAGAGCTGCATTCTAGGTTACCACTCCGACACCACATCCACTGCGATACGCACATCGTCTGGAGCGCGTTGGACATGATAGCTGCAGTTTTTATTCTGGGCAATTATTGCAGCGGGCTCACTGCGAGCACGTAACAGAAAACAAGTCGTGTACAATATATATTATGGACAATGCAAGTGGCCACATTTTGCCATCGAAGAATAGCAGTTCTTGGCACTTAATTCAACGCATCTTTGCCAGCCAGCAGATTATTTTAGCTTTTATTTTTAAAATATGAAATAATAAAAAGCTTTTAAATAATCTGTGACATCTAAAACTCTGAACAAAAAAATGTACTTATTTTAGCTTAAAAGAAAAAAGAAAAAATCCTCTCACCCCTCCCTCGGAATATGGAATATAAAAAATACGAATCTGAGGCGTTTAACTACAGGAAAGTCACTATTGCGCAGCATGTCCAAAGTAGGCAAGCAAGGCCACTTGCTGCTTGCACCCTTCCTTCCTGCTTAGCTCGTCTCTGCAGCGTTCTAAGTCCCTGTACACCTCATCCGACAAACACTGTCGCTGACTACAGTTGTTGTATTTGTCGGTAGGAACGTCACTTCGACATTTGTAGTTCTATCAGCGTCGTAGCCTCCATGGACGCTTGCATTGTCGATGATCAGCAAGCACTTGCGGTGCTGTGTCCTGAACTGGCAATCTTAGTGGCACTAGCTTAGAATATGAAGAATGAGAGAGGACCGCAAACGCAAGGAATAATTCGGATGATATTAATAGTGTGTGCGAATTCTGTAAACGTACCCTTTCGAAGGTACACCTGGCTGAGCCACCCCACAACAAGAATACCCTTATGTAGGCATAAACTGTTGGTTTCCGACGCTATGACTATCGAAGGGCTCAGCTGTACACAAAGTGGACGGATATCAAAATGTCCACATCAATTCAAGCCTTTTATTGGCTAAAACGAAATTCTCAATAACCGCCAATAAACTCAGTTCTTTCATTGGTTGAAAACCCCTCACCAACCAAAAAAGAACTTTTGCCTGTTGCGCTCCACCCAGTCCATCCATCAATCAATTCGAAAGTCGTCATGGTGGTCAAGGCGTCAGAGATCGCGCCTGCTGCGTACGCTGAAAGGCAGCACCAGCAACGTGCAGAAGGAGGACGATCTGACGTACGATCTGGGCAACTTGGCGGCGTTCGACACGCACCCGTTCGCCTACCAGAACGAAAAGGAGCTCGCTCTCCATGCTCGTGAGAATGTGCAACTGCTGATCAACCACATCTTCGAGTTGCCTCGCCAAATGTCGGATATGGGTCCTCTGGCCCAATTGCCGGTCCCTGAGACGGTAATTCCGCGCGAAAAGCCTCTGCCGAAGCCCAAGGTGGAGACGAAATGGGAGAAATTCGCCAAGGAGAAGGGCATCGACAAGCGCAAGAAGAGCCGCAAGGTCTTCGACGAGGCCACTGGAGAGTGGAGCCACACGTGGGGATACCAACGTGCTGGAGACGATATGAAGGATTGGGCTGTGGAGATGAAGGAGGGCGACCGGGAGGACCCTTGGACCAAGCGCAAACAGGATAAGCGCGCCCGTGTGGATAAGAATCTGCGTGCACAGGCTAACAACCTGAAGCAGGGACGTGGCAAACAACTGGCCGGTATTGCCGGTCGTACCCCTACGGGTATCCCAGTGGAGCTCATGAACACGGAAGACACGAAGGCCAAGCAACGCGGCAAGGAAGGCACCAGTAAGACCTTGGAAAAAGTGCAGTTTTCTACGGCGTCGATGGGCAAATTTGACAAGATGCGCGAGGGAGAATCCGAGCGGAAGGTCAAGGGCAAACGCAACAATTTCTTGCCTACCACGGGCGCTGAGACGACCGAGAAGGAACGGAGCATGAACGCTCTGAAGCGAGTGCTGGGGCGGGAGGAGAATGCCGGCAAGAACAAGGGCAAAACGCTCGATGAGGAGGAAGAGGAAGGTGGCAAACGCAAGAAAAAGGGCAAGAAACTTAAGAACTTTACCAAGGGAGCCACCAAGAAGCGACGGACCAAGTGAACGGGATGGATGATGCAGTAGGGAAAAGCTTCACTCGTTCGTAGAGATCACGTAATATATACTGCATGTCGAGCTAAGGATTGTCGTTCTTATGCTGCATACTGCAGGATATGACCTTGGCAACAAGTTGGCTGCAACAGCTTTAACAGGTTTAGCCACAGCAACCTCCGCCCACTGCATTGAGCATAACAAGTCAGTATTTCAGGTTTAATGCGTCTCGACACAGTATTAGACGCACTTGGCTGGTTAATGGTGCCGCGGTGGTTTATCCCTCCCATTCGACGCGGACCTCCACGTCCGTTGCCGCCCAAGCCGCGATTAGATGTCGAACTTTGACCGATGTTGCTGTTAGGACGCGTTGCAGTCGACGGGTCCTGATATTTGCAATACATGAACAGTCAGAGCAAAAGCTGCAGCATCAATACGCAACAGAGGCAACAAACTTTGTTGCCTCTGTTGCGTATTGTTTGTTGAACAAACTCACCGAGAAAATCGACGTCACGCTTCAGTAGCAACGCAAGCACACAGAACGTCAGGTCAGCTCACTTTGGGTCTCAAGCAAACAGTAGATAATTCCGCCACGTACAAGAGGCCTACGAAGTTAATGGCACCCCAGAACATGTCCGTCACGATGGACAGGCGCCACGGTGAGCGCTTGGCCACCACGTCGCCTCCGCACACGTACGTCATGGCAACCGATTTCTTACTGTTGCAATTAAAACCCGACGCTTCACGACATAGACCAGTTTCTGTATCTTTAGTAGTAAAATATGGTCCTTTCGGGGCCTCTAGCCAATCGACCATCACTCCAGATTTTATCCTTTTTTGTGTGGCCAAAACGCAAGGAAACCGAGGCAAACATGTCGATGGCAATGGGCATGGCGCGCGTCTTCGGATGCAGCGCCGCAATGACAGCGCGCGTGGGGACTGCGACCGAGGAAGTGTACACACTTTCGCGTCGCTGGGCTAGTAAGAAGGCTGGCGGTTCCACCAAGAACGGCCGCGACTCGGAGTCCAAGCGCTTGGGCGTCAAGAAGTTCGGCGGTCAGAGCGTCCTGGCCGGCAACATCATCATTCGTCAGCGCGGCACTAAATACCACGCGGGAACGGGTGTCGGTCTCGGCAAGGACCACACCATCTTCGCCAAACGCGACGGCTTTGTGCGCTTCTGGTACAACGTACCCAAGAAACGTCAGGAGGTGTCGGTCAAGGCCACACGTGAGGTGCAGCGCGCGGTGGCCATGGGCAGCGCGTAGAGGACAGAAGGAGGATAAGAAATAGACAGACGGTGGAATTTTAACAGTGCTGAGAAGTTCTTCGACTGTACTGATAACAAGCTTCCGTGTTGAGATACATGTATTACACTGGCCAACGTAGTTCTTGCAACTCCACCGCCTGCTCGATGATGATTGGTTGCTCTTGGTTGTCTGAGCTTGGAGCTGCTGGTTGGCCATACTGAACGTCGTGAGGACGGCGAGGGTCGCTGTCGTAGCTCTGCGTGCTCGAGACAAGGCGAGCTGCGAGCTGGTCGTGCACGCATGAGGAGGTCACTGTGGTGATCCAGAGTGCTAGGCACACAAGCACACCGGCGCTCACGGAGGATTGCATGTTCATTTTCTTCAGAAGACACTGGCAAAGATTTTCAGCTAAGTCTTTGTCGAAACCGCTTCTGCGAGTTTTTTGTTTGTTTTGCAAAGACGGAAAACGGCGAAAATGGCAAAACCTAGATCAGAGGGCTAGTATACCGGTAATTAAAACCGAATGATATCGCCCAAAGTTCAAGGGAATCGCTTGATTTGCGGTAGACTTTGGTGGATGCTGTTTTGCTAAAACGTCGGGCGGTTACTGTACTGAACCAAAAACACTTTTTTCAGTACAATTTAAACCGATTATGAAAAAACAGCCGGAACAGTAAAAGCGACCACGAATGGCAAACTGTGCACAAGTGGTGATCCCCGTCGGGAGTGCACTGCATTTGCGAACTTCCAACCAACGCGTTACTCTCAGGGAATGGTGCGGCTCGTAGTTATAGTTCTGTCCGTGGCCCTCACGGTGACCCCCTCGACGGTGCAGGGCTACGCCAAGTACGTGAAGCTCGTCCCGAACGGTGGCAACGTGCCAGACAACTCAAACATCGGACACCTGGACCCAGCTGGCGAGACTGGACTTAGCAAATTCGGTGAAGCGTTCTCCACGGCTGGGAATGCCTGGGCTGCTGCGCTTTGTCAGGAAGACACCGACGGAGATGGATTCACGAACGGACAGGAGCTGGGAGACCCATGTTGCACGTGGACGTCGGGCACAGCTGGGCTAGTAACGGATGGCGTTAGTGACCCGTCGGACGCCTCCAAGACCCCAACAAGCAGCGAACTTAAGGCAGGTTGCTCTAGTGGCGGCACATCGACCTCTGCAAATTTCACAGGTAGTGGCGACTCGGTGGGCGACGTGGTGGGCACAGTGTCCCCCGCAGGGCCTACCACGGGCGGCCTGCCTCCTGATGACGACGAGGACGACTCGTCCGAGAGCGCCGTACTAACTGCTGGGGCCTCGATGACGACTATTAACAGTGTGGTGATGGGCCTTGCAACGGCGGTGGCTCTTGCCGTGGTATTGTAGTCTTAAACTGAGAGCTGCTGCATGTCGGCTCGGTGTTGGTGCCGCGTTTTAACGTTAACAAAAGTATTTTCTGAAGTTTTGTGAATTCGTTGCATTATGTGTACAATTGCCAGACAAATTGCCGCTTCGTGTTGCGGCACGTTGCGGCACCTTTTGCTGATACGATTTTTCGTGGTCAACACAGGAAATCAACATTGTTGGCAAACTGACAATTGCACCCAGTGCTTAGTTCGGCGACGGAATCACAAACACGATGATCAGAATCACCACCAATACTGCGATAATACCGTATAACTTGCACGCCTGCAACAAGTAAAACGTCAGTCACCTAAACTTCGAATATAGCACTTTTTCTCTAAGGAATACAAACTTACCTTCTTTTTGCGGGCGTTTACCTCCCGAGCCGCTTGCTCTTCTCTTGAAATGTCCCGAGTGGCATTGTCCATTCGCTGGCAAAGGCAACACGAGTGCAATAGTATCGTTAGTTTCCTTCGTCTCTGCCAACGGAAAAAATGTCTTCAGCTGTCGAGCGTACGTTGCCGATGTCGTCGATCATGATGTTCTGCTCCACAACTTCACCGTTAATAGCATGCGCCTGGTTCTTGAGGCCCACGACGCCGCCATGGATTTGGTCCAGCAGAGCGTCTTGCCGTGCCTGGTCGTCTTCGCGCCGTTGGTCGAACTGCTGCTGTGCGTCCATGTTACGGTAATTCTCCTCACCACGCGGCATGATTCAGTCGCTTGTACTTTACGCGTCGAGGGTATGAAGGAAGGGCTCTCGAGTCTGAGAGAAGGCGAGTTTCGCTTTATACTTGTCGGCGTCGAGATGACGGCAGAGATCGGCAGCTGGCTGGCTTCTTTTGTGTGCGACACAAAATGGCGTGTCCAACACAAATGCTAAGGTTGTCAACTCGAACGATAAGTTGCTCAGGCTATTAATTTTACGGCATTCAAGTATTAATACCAGAGCTTTTAAGCTTACAATATTTATCATGCGGCAATGGAGCTGGGATTGTGATTGGGCTGGGTTGACGTGCCAACAACAACGAGAGCACTGAACGAGTCCTTACTGCGTTTGTCCCGTTGCCGATGGAAATCAGTGCTCGAGAAGTCACTCGTACAGGTGCGTCGTACTGTAGTTCGATGCATACATGTAATTCGAAGAATCAGATCTTGCCGAGATGGCAGCTCGCTATTAAAACTGTTGCGCGATGTACAAATTCGACTATGGAGCTCTTCACTTTATTATAATAAGCTGTTGCCGACCATGTGGCCTTTTCCGAGCATAAACTCCTCGATTGTCCGCCCTCGCCACCACAGGTTGTCCTGTCGTGCTTGGTACATGTACGCTAATGATAGGTTTGAGTGAATGTCGACTTGTTGAAGCCTTGTGCCGCTCCGGCACCGCCATTTTGCATCTCGCGTCAGAGCACTGACTTGACTCTCGAGCGCAGCCAGCAATTCCTTCCTCACCAGAAGACTCGACCCACCGATAAATATGCAGGTTTCCCGCTTTGCCGTCGCTTGCCCACTGGCCATCAGTGCCGCCTGCGCGCAGGACACGCTCATTTTAGCGTCGACAAGCGCCTCCGCATCCGCAAGTGCCGTGAGCTCGGGCTCGGGCTCAAACGTCAATGACAACGTTGACAACTCGGACGTCCTCCTATCCAGCAACGCCGCCAGCGCTGCCTCCACAGGCGACACTTCGTTCGACAGCAGCACGGGTAGCACAGTCGACGCCGGCAGTGCGTCAAGCGACATCTCCCTTGGCAACTCGTTCGCCGGCAGTGCCGGGTCTGGAGATGACACCAATGTCGGTTCGGTGGACTCGGCCAACACTACGGTCGGCAGCTCCAGCTTGGACACCGAGGCGACTATTACTAGCACCTCGGCTTCTGCCGATAGTGTCACTCAGTCGTCAGCCACGTCCACGAGCTCCAGCTCGGACAGTGACTCGAAGTCGTCGTCATCGGAATCAGCTTCCTCGGAATCGGCATCTTCGTCCTCCGGCTCTAGTAGCGCTTCGTCGATTGCCGCCTCGTTCAGCGTCGCTGTGACCAGTGTCCTCGTTGCTGGCGCTTACTTCATGTAGAGACAAAAAGGGTTGGAAATTCCAACTTGGAACACTAGCGGCGTTGATAATAAACGTGTAAGTTCACTTTGCATTCCGTCCGATCTGCTTACGGGGTGGGCAGCACCTTCTTCGCCGACATGGGCAAGAGGTCGCAAATCTCGCAACATCTCTTCAACATGAGCTTTTTTTAAGAGTTTAGCAAAACGACCAAGCAATCAGCGAATCCACTACATGTACTATTAATACCGTATGCGCGGCGATAGGAATCCTATTGCCGCGCTTCTTGACCGAAGTATTAATACATGTAGAGTAGCTAATAATTTGCACTGGTGGTGAGTCACCAGGTGACCGCGGCGGTCCGCTGAACGTTTGCATCAAACCGTGCAGAGTGCTGTCTTCGAAAGGCCCGGTCCTGTAGACGTCCCTGGGAAATTCCGCATTAGAGAGATTCCCTCTACCTGGAAAATTCCGCATTAGAGGGATTCCCTCTTCTGGGAAATTCCGCATTAGAGGGATTCCCTCTACCTGGGAAATTCCGCATTAGAGGGATTCCCTCTACCTGGGAAATTCCGCATTAGAGGGATTCCCTCTACCTGGGAAATTCCGCATTAGAGGGATTCCCTCTACCTGGGAAATTCCGCATTAGAGGGATTCCCTCTACCTGGGAAATTCCGCATTAGAGGGATTCCCTCTACCTGGGAAATTCCGCATTAGAGGGATTTTCCCAGGGACGTCTACAGGACCGGGCGGTCTGTGTTGTACAGTACACTGTACAGTACTGTGTGACAACACTCTCTCTTTGCATTGCAGACTGCAGCTTGTCCTACACTCCAAGCCTGGACAATTCAAATTGAATCGCGTAACGATGTCACTGCAATTCCTGTTGACAAGTGATATTAGAGTCTCACGTGTCCAGCAGGGGAATGAAGGCAGTTGAGTTTTCGATCTTTTTTAAGTTTTTTAGAAAAGCTCTTGTCAAAAAAGAAAAAAAGAAGAGTTCAATTGTGATTTGGGAAATCAAAATACATGTACTATTCATCGCGGATCACTTCTACTGATTATTGGTACTACATGTACTAGTTTAATTCTACTATTAAACACAATAGAGACCACCAAAGCTCTCCTGGAGCTCCACTTTGGCGTGCAGTATTACAAGTAATGACGCTAACAGCGTGCAGACTTGCCCATACAGTATTAGGTAAGTGCTGTAAAAAAGGGTATTTGTTCGATTCTACAGTACAGAAGATTACTAACTACTGAGCCAATTCTCAGTACTATAAATCAAAGTTTATAATGCCGCACATGTATCGGTACAGTACATGTAGTAATTGCTGATGTTGAAGACTGTGGCGATTTCGGTGCAAGTGACACGTCTGGTGACCAGTTTGAAATAGGACTTGCAATTTGATGGACAAGCGTTGCAAAGTACATGAACATGTAATGCTACAAAAGTGCACTGGTGCGCTCGGCGCACTGCGCGGTGCCCAGCTTAAGTCCATGTTCAGTGAATATGGACTTTGGTTCACCATTTATGTTTCAAACCTTTCTTCAGAAGGTTTTCGGAAGTCTCGTGGCGCCCACTGTTTTGATTGGCAAGGGTGATGAGATGACATGTTGCAGTTGTGAATACCCGCCCCATTCTCGAACACCATGTATCGGGTTCCCTCTGGGCCCGACGTGCACGTTGACCTCATCAATCAGCTACTTCATTCTGCAATTTGCCTCCTCAGCGGTAGACCCACCAACAGCTCAAGCTCCAGTCTCTCCCTTTACGATGTCTACGTCTGGATCTATCACCACGTGCGGCTCAACTTCCCTTGCCGGTCTGCTCACGAACCAGTACATCACCCAGTGCGCGACGGACTCTGGCTACTCGTTCACGGCAGCCTCCGTCCCTACTCAGGATGTCATCGACCTCATGTGTGCATCCTCGGCTTGTCGTGGTCTGCTGGCCGACGCACAGGCCTTGGACCTGCCCGAATGCATCCTGCCCGTGGGCGACAACATCCGCCTCCGTGCCGACCTGATCGACTATGTGCCTGCTCGCTGTCCGTCGGTTGCGGGCAGCGCTGCCACCGGATCTGCTGCCACCACCACGGGCAGCGCAGCCACGGCCAGCTCTACGGCCGGTAACAACACGGCCAGCTCCGCCGACACCATCACGGCGCCGTCTACGGCCTCGTCCACGACGTCTGATGAGACGAGTAGTACCGCGACCAGCGCGGAGTCGTCAGGATCTGCGGCCTCCGCTTCGGCCTCGGCCTCAGCTGCGTCCGCGTCGTCTGGATCTAGTGCTGCTGCGTCGCCCGTTGGCCGGGCGCTGAGTGTCGTGTCCCTCGGTGCTCTTGCAGTCGTCTCGTACTTCTTGTAGACGATCGGGGAATTTGCTTCTCGCCTCTGAAGTAGCAACACCTTTTTGATGACCAAATACATGTTAACCGAACATGTTGATGTCTTTTTATTTTGGTCACGGTGCTCGGCAGCCGAGCAGGCCACAACCGAACCGACTCGGCTCGGTTGTGGCCTGATCTACCGACACACTTGAGAAAAATGGCAATTGCAGCGCTCGCGATGGAAAATATGACAGTCTCACCTCGTTTGAAGCCATGTATCCCTTGCAGTTGCTACGGTCGCGGCCGCGTAAGCCGGTTGACAATTGCGCTAAGAACCATTTCAGTATTTGCAGTCCCCAAGACTTAACCGCAAAAGAAAAATGCGAAAGCGAGAGTTGCTCTCAACTGTGCGAGGGCTTTTGCCTACCGGAACGTCCTGGCCCAGTGATCAAGAAGAGACTCAACTTCAAGATGGAAAGACTGTGTTGATGCTGGTGACGAGAGTGCCGGACTTCCGGGTGGCATTGAAACTTATCGACTTTGTGTATCCTCTTACTGCCAATTTCTGGGCGAGAGACTCTCACGGACGTCATGTGATCATGGACGCTTGCCTTCATGGCGTCCATCCTTTGGTGTTGCAGCGCTTGATGAAGTGGGCTCGGAAATGTACACTCAACGTGATCGTCCCGATGTCCAGACTCGACGTCGATGGCCTCGACGCCATGGAACTCGCCATCAAAGAAGGACACGGAGAACTGGCCTCTTGTCTGCTGGGCACGCGAGATGTGACGTCATACTACGACTCGTTCTGCAACCATTATCCACTAGAGGTGCTGGAGCTTGCCATCCACTCCCACAACGAACAGTGTGTGCGCGCTGTCCTCACTAACAAGCGAGTTCTACGCGGTTTACAACCCGGAGCGGCGGCGAGTCTCAACTTGACGATGCGGTGGATGCAACCAAGAAGAGACTTTTCAACATTTTCACATGCGTGGGCGCCGCTGTACGCTGCAAAATGCCACGGATCGTGAAAGTTTTGTAAAAGATTAATCCAGAGGAGACGCACCAAGCTGTGTGGTATGCCATTTGCACGTTGCGACCGGGCTCGACTTCTTCAGAGTTGCAGCAATGGGCAAATTCGTATCGTCTTGACAAAGTTTGGCCACAAATTAGTGTGATTATTTTGCTTCGAAATTGATAACAATTGGCACGGACCAGTGGCGAGCATCCACATTCATTGTGGCAAAGAACTCGCCATTTGTGGCATCATGAGAGTCACGACTGGGGAGCTATAGCTTCTCACCCATGGACAACACTTCCACACGAGCTGTTTTCGCATATTCTAAGCTTCCTCCTCCTGTCCAAAACGACCGAGATGAAGAAGGTAGCGTCCTTGGTCATGTTCTAAGAGTCACACCTTTGTTGCTGGGGAGTTGTACCTTATGGCGAAAAAAGTACTTGCATAAGCTGACATCTCTCTCTCAGTCGAAGAGTGCTCAAATGACACAGACTACGGCCACTTGCACTGTGAAGCCGTGAACCCCTGCACTCGTGCGTTGTTGTGGCCGGCAGGGCTCCCGATTATGGCATTGTTATAGATCGGGAACCCTCTCTTACATGTATCATAAATAATGGCATTGGGCAGCTAGTGCCAATACATCTTCATACATTATGGCATGTACAGTACAGTGATCAAACAATAAATATGAGCGGAATGTGGAGCGCAGCATCATTTTTAAAAATGCACATCACGTCGAAATCACACCATTTCCGTGGAGTAGTGTCAATATTTTGCCTACTTTGTCCGAAATGAAGAGTAAGCTTCAGCAACCGTGATACTTAGCGTTCGCGAGTTAATTTCCAATGAAATGCCGTGGTTTGCATAACAAGAAAGATTTTTTTCATAAATTATGGTAGATTGGTGCTTTGCAAATAGATTATTTATTGCATTCGTAAAGCTCACAAAATAAATATTTTATGATTTCAAATGAAATTATTGACAAGATCTTCCCGCCTTTTTTACCGCTCCCTAACCTTGTAGCCTTTACCGCTCCCTAACCTTGTAGCCTCTGTCCGTCCGTCCGTCTGTCAATCCGTCCGTCGCACTCCCTGTCTTCCTGCTTTGACCTGCCTTTCCGCATGGCTACACCCGGCCTGTCTAATACAGTTTCATCCCATCTTACCGACCGCGCCTACCTTTCTGACTCGACCTAACTATGCTAAAACTACAATTATATCCAAAAGCGGACACAATTAACTCGCGCCCTGATTGGGCAATACCTGCCGACCTGTGACACTGACTGGATCTGTCGCAAGATCAGACCGTCTGTCGCCCTCGCGATTACGTAAGGTAAACATTTCTGCCGAGCACGAAACGCATCGATTGGTTGCAAACAGCCAGGGGAGCTGCGCTGATGATTGATTTCATATATTTAGCTACGCAAAACCTGTCGTATGTACTGCAAATCGGGCACAGTAACCACTTGATTTTTAGAGATATTTATTATTATTAATGTAGACTTCACAGACCAGTATTTTGTAAGAGCTCTGGGACACACTTTTCAAAGTAAAGACGATATTAATATAAGCTTCACAGACCGCATTCGGCGATGCTATTTTCCACACACTATCTAAAGTAGAGACGATATTTTTTTATATATTAAAGAAGGCTTCACGACCAGCGCTTTTTGTAGGACTTTGCGAATATATATCTTTTTTACTTCACCTGGCACTCACCACTGCCACCGTGCAATGAAGGCGCGCGGCGGCACGGTAATTGTGCTATCTGCTCCCGTGCACCCCACCCGACGAATGCATGCGCGCACGATAGATAGTTGTTTTAGTCAATTTATATTGCATGTAAAGTATGTATTTGTTTGGAAATGTGATAAAAGTATTATTATAACAAAGCCAAATAGTAATATTTTAAAACATTTTACTGTTTTGCCTAATAATAAATACCAGCCTTACAGTACCGTGCTATTGGCTAATATTTAACGCAAGTAATTGGTTAAAACAATATAATTTGCAAACATACTCACAGTTTGCAAAATGGTGGGCCCTACGTGCAAGCAATGCGAGGCGAAATTTGACCCGCTTCTGCTGAGCCCGCAGCGGTCTACGACGGATGCACGGGCGCGCTGCGTCTGCTGCGGGAAGCTGCAGTACGGCTACGCATTCCGTACAATCAGCGGGCGGGACATCGTGCGGCGCTGTATTGCCGGCAAGAACGGCCCAAAAGCGGTTGGGTTCTGGGAGGAATAGCCCCCACCACCTGATTCGGCCGATGTGCGCCGCCAGGAAAGCCTGGCAAACGTCAAGAAGGTGATGGGCCCTGACTGGTACCCCAAGAGTAAATAAAGAAACAGCCACCCTCGCAAGCTGACCGCCCGAAACGCCAAGTACATCGAGCAAAAGAAGCAGCAGAAGAGCAAGTAATGGTAAATATACCCTTTTAGGCCCCCATTTTCCTACCTATATTCGTATTTAGTATACTGGTTGACGGTACGAGGCTTGGAGCCGCACAAACGGTAAACTGACTATGGCGCTGGCAATAGTGTTGACGCACCTACAGAGGGTAGCGCGTTTCAAATAATAATTAACGCACGGTATCTACTGTGAACCCTTGCAAGCTGTCTGTCCCTATCTGCTTCCGCGTAACAATAGATCGAGAGTACACTCGCTCACTTGGATACATGCAAACCATGCTATCTGTGCCATCAGCGCTCACAGCGTATGTTCCATTAATGTGCGCTCACAAATTGAAACTACAGCCTCGAGTGAGCACTACACGCGGCGATTAAGTTGCGGTCTACATAGATGCGAGCACGTGTGCGGTAGCGCAAACAATACCGGTGGGTGTGGTCAGTCTGACTGTCTGTACGCAGTACTATGCTTTAGTGCCCTGTCCATAATGGTCGAGATAAGAGCTCGGCTCAGTCGCGGGTGGCTATAAGGTGTACCCGCCGCGCGCGTAGATACTGCGTTGAATACAGGTGACAGACGCGCGGTCAGCTTGCCAGTATCGCTGCAGTATGGCCTGTGACCGGTTAGTGACCTGCTGGGTCATATAGACTGATACATCAGAAGCGTAAGCACAGTAAGCCAGCACGACGACGCAAGTGTACCGAGAAAGCGACAGTGATCCTATACATAGGTTTTAAATATCACGAGCGCGTGATATACACTCATTAACGACCTCGCAATATATGCACGGATACATCAAATAGCACGCCGAGTTGATAAGTAGGCAGCAAAAGTACTTCATATAATGTACATGAGCGACGATTCAATCAAGTCTAAGATATCTACGATCTGATAATCTACCTACAGTTATGTGACTTCGTATGTTCGTCATACATATCGGAGCCAGTAAATGTCACTCGAAAGGGTCTACGCCACTATATCAGTCAGAATCTATGCAAATAAGTCAGTATGTGCATCAGCTATGCAAGTAGAATCAATACATGCGAAAGATAGTGGAAAAACCCTTCAGTAAAATCATAAAGAGCTCAGCAGAACAATTACAACGCATAATATTGGTGTTTGTCGCGACTATCGGCAAAATCTACCTGTTCTAAAAGATACTTCGCGCGAGGAGCTGACTAAACCTTTCTCTAATAGACCGTCGCAATCAATGAGACGGCGTCGACTGCCTCACGGCGATGACGTGACAGATGATATTATGTTTGAGTAGACGTATTTACTCCAGCTAAACTGGAATTCCTCACCGGCCTGTGCCAATTTTGGATCATCACTGATACTGGCATGTCTTCCGTACAGCATATATTACATTTGCAGCCACGCACGCCTCCGATTTGGGAGCTATGCGCTCAAATGCGATTATAGACAAAACCTTCCCGGGTAAGATGGTGCTCATCTTGCAGATCACGTTAAACCCTGGTCGTGTCTACCATAACATGTGAGCACTAAGGATACTGTGTGCGGTGTTGTTTTGAGCCGTAATATACGTAGCTCACAGTATACATGTACTATATGTTGCTTCGCTTTGAGTAGAAATTCTAAGCCCACTGCAGCGCAGCGGAGGTGGTCGGCCCTCTCTACACCAACCAACTATGCCCTAGCGTCCGCGGAGCGGGCGCCCAGAGCGCTAGT